ATATATATATATATATATATTCCCTCCATTTCCAACCAGATCAGACCTATCTCAGGACTTAATAAAAAGCTGTAATTGTGAGATGCAGGCCTGCCAATTCAAATGACTCGGGTGATAGATAGTATTGCAGCAGAGTAAATTATTGTGGATGTCTGTGTGTGGTTTGCGTAAACAAGCTAAGAATTCTGTAAAGTATTTTGTATAGTGCTGATCCATTCCAAGGCAAGCTGTTGATGATTGTTCTGGTGCCTTATTTCTTTCCTCTCCCTTGCCCCCCCACCCCCCGGTTATATTGGCTTCTCTGTAGTTCTTTGCCTGTCTCTGTAAACATTCCAGTCAAATAGACAGTGAGTATTATAAAGGCTTCATACATGCAGCTAAGTCCGGTCATGACAAAATGGGAAGCCAGAATTCAGCAAAGATAGATCAGCAACAGGCCTTATCACCTTTTTTAAGTTTTCTCTGCAAAACCACAAAATGCCTTTTGCCCTGCCTTTTGAAAAATGGCAATAGAAACAAAATGTTTTCAGCATCACACCTTGGGCAGCAGAGCCAAGTGTTTCATAAACCATGTAAACCAAAAGAACAGCTGGCTTCTGGCAAGGACTGCTCCCACCCCCCCAAAGTGTGCTCAAGATCTGGAAGCAGCATAGAGAACAAACTTGTTGGCTAAGGCCACAGTAAAAAGTTTTCCGGTGTTTACGCTGCCGCTGCCAGCCTTACTCAAGGGTGTATTCACAGTAGACACATTGATCCACATCTCTTTCCTCCAGCCACCAATCGCGGGGAAGAAGTCCGTGTTATTCGACTCCGGCTCTCTGCTTTGTAGTGTCGTAGGATCGAACAACTTGAGACTGAGAAACGACCCCGTGCTCCTCTTGAGAGAAAGCGTAACCATCTGGAGGGAGAAGAGGAAAGAGCCGAAAAAGAGATTTGGAGTCAGAGAGAGGTTACGGTTTGTTTCTTTAACAATGATGAGAAGAGGAGGAGTGTACAATGGATGCAATATGAGAGAAGATCAGAAGCAGGTAAAACCAGTTCAGCCCGCACAGCTACAGTCTTTTTTTCTGATGTTCTTTCAGGGTAATGTGGATAATGCAGAACACCAAGGGACCATTACAGGGGTGGGCGGCTGGGGGTTTGCAAGGGTTCAGGAGAACCTCTAGCTAAGATTCTGTGCAGCTCGGAGAACCCACAAGTCCCGCTCCTGGCTGGCCCCGCCCACCCCACCCCGCCCCTCCCAGGAGTCCCCACGTGGCCCGTTTTGGATGTAAGTAAGTGCAGGATGTGCACGGAGGCTCAGGGAGGATGAAAAATGTGCTTATTGGAAGTTCGGGAAGAGGTTCCAGAGGGCCTATGGAGCCTGGGGAGGCCATTTTCATCCTCCTGGAAGCTCGAGGAAAGCCTCCGGAGCCCGGGGAGGCCAAAAACACCCTCCCTGCTATGGTGCAGGAGGCAGACTAGGCTACTTCCATCATGGCCACACCCACCCAGCAACTGGGCAGAGAACCCCTTGCTAAAATTTTTGAAGCCCACCCCTGGGCCATTATCCCAGCCCTAGATCTCCCTCCTGTCCCTTCATTAAGTAGAACCAAAATCAGGAACACTGGCAGATTAAACTTGTCTTCTCCCAAACTCAACATCTTACGTTCTTACCCCATCCCTGTTTGTGACCCAAGGGAGAAATATTGAGAGAACTGAATCAAATCCAGAGCGTGGAACCGTGGTACCTCAAACATAACTGCTGTTCAGGGAGCACTCATGACGAACATGGTCCCACATCCATTGTTTTCAGAGTGAACATGAGTCACATACCAAAGTATACGGTAGTTTTTAAGTACTGTGTGAGAAAGGTTTAGAGAAGTGTTTCTCAACCTTGGGAACTTTAAAGGTGTGTGGCGTTCTGGCTGGCTGGGGAATTCTGGGAGTTGAAGTCCAATGTCTTAAAGTTGCCAAGGTTAAGAAACACTACTTTGGAGAGAGCTGGGCCTGCTACCATCTTTTCATTTAAAAATTAACTCTTTAGGTACTTCCCTATGAGGATTCAGCACCATCATTTGAAAATCTTTTTTTCTGCTTCTTCTGCAGTTTATCTTAATCTGCGCTACTGTAACTATTTTTTTTAAATTACTCAGACTCAGTGAAGTTTGTCCCCTAAACATCCCAGCCGGGAAAACCTTTAGCTTTCTCTTACAGAAACTAATATATTTTTTTTCCAATACAATTCTACACAACATAGAGAGATGTGGTATATGCATTTGTGTCAGCAATTGATTTATATGCCTTTTGCATTAAGTAGGGACAAAAGGATCTTTTGTTAATCCAAGATAGGTCCCAAAGGAGGAGAGCATAATTTTTGCTTCTTGTTTTTAGCATATGGATACTGGCTGGTATAGGCACAAGAATGAACAATGAAGCAATCACAGAGTGAAAATGATGTTGATGGGCAAATACTCTTTTTCACACACGTCCTGATTGGTAAATTTTTTATTTTGTTTTATTTTGTTGTAATTTCTTTTCCTTTTTTCTTCTGTTCCCCTCTTACTGTGTAACCAGTTTTTAGGCCTTTCCCCACTTCTAATAATACAGAGCAAAAGCATGTCCTGGTAACATTTTTGTTCTACCATCACCCAGTGATATTGTATTACTCTTGTCTTCATCTCATACATGAAACAAACCTGCCAACTGTAATTTAGTGATATTAAAGTAGGCTCTTCTGCCTTAAGTTGACAAGTTCCAAAGGTGAGGTAAGAAGTTAGAGGAAAGTCAATTGATTGCAAACAATGGATGCAATAAAGGTTTTGCTGCAAAGATGCATGGACAGTACTTCAACTGAACAGGGGACAAATATCCTTTGAAACCAATCACAGCTGAAAGCACACACACACTCCTCAACTTACAACCATTTGTTTAGTGACCATTTGAAATTACAATGGTGCTAAAAAAGCAACTTATGACCATCGCAGCATCCCCACAGCGACATGATCAAAACTCTGGTACTTGGCAACTAGTGTGTATTTACGACAGCTGCAGTGTTTCGGATTACTACTTGTGATTTTCCTAGGCGGCTTCCAAGAAACAGAGTTAATGGGAAAAGTCAGATTCACCTAGCAACTGTGATTCACTTAACAACTGTGGGGATTTGCTTAATAATTGCAGCAACAGAGGTTGTAAAATTGGGCACAACTCAATTGCATCACCTAGAGATGGAAGTTCTGGTTCTAATAGTAATTTCAAGTCAAGGATACACCAAAAAAAACCCACAAATACTTACACACACATGCACATTTACTGTACACATTCATTCATTCGTTCAGTTACTTATTTAGGAGAGTATAACAACTATAGTCATTGTTTTAATTGAGCCTGGGGAAAAGTTAAGTATTTAGATAGAATAGCACCAGGAGACCATTGTATACCATGAATGATTCAAATCAGGGGTGGTATTCACTTACCTTCCCTACAGGTTCCATACATGTGCTTTTGGCAAAAAAAAAACTGCCCTAAATGGGACGTTGTAGTGCTGGTGCGGGTAGGCGGGGCCACCCGCGATTTCCGCTACCGGTTCGGGCAAACCAGTCTGAACCGGTAGAATACCACCTCTTGTTTCAAATGTTGCAATCACGGAAAAAAATAAGGAATGTCTCAGATAAGGGATGGTCCATAGATTTTCAGTTGTGGACTACCTGAAAGTTTTTTGTACTCCAGATTGCAACAGCATGGACAATAGTAGGCATGCCTTTGTATGCCCAATTAATGTATGCTTTATGGGCTGCACTGGTTGCCAGTTTGCATCATATTGTGATTCAAAGTGCTGGTTGTTATTTATAAAGTTCTACATGGTTATTCAAAGGACCACCTCTCATCTGCCAGCCAATTCAATCTGCTGAAGTTGATACTCTCAGGGGACATTTGCTGAAGTAACCTTTCTAGAACCCTGCAATTATTTCTTCTCTGGAAGGAAGTTTCCCTGAGACCGGGAGAGTTTCCATTCTGCTAGTGTTTCAAAGGGCCTCAAAGACCTAGCTCAGTAATGGCTAACCTGTTTGGTGCTGAGTGCTTGTGCACAAAACCCCAAAATGCAATGTGCGTGTCCCACCCCTTCAGCCATTTTTGGGTTCCAGGTTGGCTCAGGAGGCTTTCCAGGCTTAAAATGGGGTGCGGGGCATGCACACCCACATAGTGCAATGTAAGCACCCCCCACACATGTGCCCCGCAGCCCCGTGCAACGCGCAGCAGAGACCCGAAGACCAGCTGGCTGGCGGGAGGCACATGCGCGTGCACAGTGCAGGTGGGCTGGGGTGAAGGCTGGCGTGTGGCACATGTGCCACAGATTTGCCATCACCAACCTATTTCCTCACTTTGTCAAAGGTAAATGAAATCCCCTTCTAGGGAATGTGGGTCTGTTTCTTGATGTTGTCCAGCTTTTGTCATCTTTTGTTCCCTGTTTTTACTGATGTATTTTTAAATTATTTTTTCCCATGTTGTCTTACTTATTATCCAGAGTTGCTGGGAATCCAGTATTACGTGAATTGATTGTTACTATTATTATTAGGCAACCTCCAGGATACAGCATCCCTCTTTTCTGTCTTCAGCTTACAAGTCTCCCTGAAATTATCTTCCTTTGGAAAAAAAATATTCCGTCACCCTACAGAGTGTTTGCATACCCCTTTATCATACAACCAATCTTTTCCACCTGATGGCCACTTCTGGCCTTCTCAGCTTTCCAGGGATGTCCTTCAAATTGGCAGCCATGGGAAGAAAAACATGCTTAGTCACAAAATCGCTGCACTGGCAGGTATGGCCGAGCACAAAATATCAATTTACCAGAAGACAAACTACTCAGGCTATTCTGAGCTCTCTACCACTCTAGCTTATTTTTGTCTGTTTTCTGAATAGGTTTTTAATCTTACTTTTTTTTTTTTAACCAAAGCCCTCTGGCCATTCCTTTCCTTCCCACCACTCTTTTTTTTATTTTCCAAGAATGTCATTCAGAATGTCGTTGGGGTCTTCACAGACTCCAAAAGACTGTTGGGAATCAAAACAATAGTGAAAACTGGTGTTCCGCTGAATATTGGCTCCCTGCTTAATTTTTTTTAATTACAAGAATCCTGGCAGGAGATTCTCTGCAGAACATAGAACTGAGTAGGTGGCAAAATATCTCTTTGTGAACATAAAGTTGCCTATAGAAACTAGATAGCCCATCTCCAATATAATACAAATTTGTTTTAATTTAAGCTATTGTGTATTAAAAGGAATCTGTTTATTTCCACCCCTTTCTTAGTGCTTTGCACTATAACATTGTTTGACAAGGGATAACCGAAGTTACTGAGGATACTGGATCAGTATCAATTTTTTTTTTTTTAACAAAGGGCTTTAAAACTACAATGAAAGTTTATGGTCATGAGAAAAACAGACTTATGATTGCAATTATTCTGAACCTGGACTGGCTCCTTTAACAATTCTTCATGATTAGTACTTATGAGGGATGAGCTAACAGAATTGAATGGATGCCCTTTTCTTTCTCCTTTCTTTGGCTCAGCAACCTGGTAAATGTTATGGGACGACTTTGGCAACTTTGTAGAGAATATATATCAGCACAAGGTCTGATGCTCTTCCATGTGCTGGGATAGTGTTTCTCCCTACCCCTAACACATGAATTCTTGTTCTGGCAGCCTCTGAAGCTTCACCCAAGCATGAACTTTCATGATAAAGAGGAAATGTTCATAGCCAAGTGAATCTACTCTGGAACCAGTGCAGAACTAAAAGATGAGAGTACAAACCATCAGCGATTTATTTACATGTGTGTAAACAGCATCTGTAAGTAACTTCTGAATTGGAATTCCATATGTGGGATGGGCAGAAATGCAAGAATACAAAAAGCCTTATAGGGCAAGTTGTGTAACATGTTTAGAGACCTTTTCTTCTTCTTCTTCTAATCCTGATTCTAATTCCTCCTTTGTAGTTAAAGGCAGCAGGGTAGTTTTTAAAGGCCAGGGCAAATTGAGCACAGCAATGCAGCTGTGATACCCAGGTGTCAACACTGCCCAGTAATTGTCATCTGAAGCAGCTCCCTTGTTTTTCCAAATGCTAGGATCAGGTCCAGCTCCAGCAATTATAATCCAGGAATGGTTTACTGAATGTTTCTGTAGCAGGGCAAATATTTTATATCACATACCACCATTGGTGAAGATCGAGGGCCAAACCACAGCAGATTAAGACTCAATACAAATCCAGTGGGAGAATTTGAATTCTCCCACTGGATTTAAATCCAGGGATGGGCTTGCATGGGTTCAGGCGATCCTCTAGCTAAGGATCTGCCCAATTCAGCAAACCCGCAAATCCCACCCCTGGCTGCTTCTGTCCACATTGCCCCTCCCACCCTCAGGAGTTTCCACATGGCCGTTTGGGATGCCAGGTAAGTACAGGGCCCTGCTGGAGGTTCGGAGAGGGCAAAAAACAGGCCTCCTGGAAGTTTTGGAAGGCTGGAAACGGGCCCATTTCCGGCCTCCGTAGGCTGGGGGAGGTTGTTTTCGCCCTCCCGGAAGCTCGCAGAAAGCCTCCAGAGCCTGGGGAGGGCGAACACCACCCCCACCATGGTACAAGAGGCTAATTGTTAGTGAGACACTTGCCCTCTTTCAGTCCATCATTAGCCAGTTACTTTTTCTCAATATATGTAACCTTTATAAGAACAACATGGGAAAAGATTATTGTATAGGGTCTTGCGATTCCTGAAGGAGAACAAGGCAATAAATGATGGAAGAATGGCAATTAAATGCACCAGAATTCATACAATGAGCTCTGCAACACTTTATTTAAAAAACTTTCCAAAACCCATGCATTTAACACTAACTCTCCCCTAAGGGCAAATAGGAACTTAAATCTCAAAGAGAAATAACTCTGCAGTTGTTTTCTGAGTTTTTCCAATAACCATGGAGCCCCAGCCAATCTAAGTAATATAATGGGGACAGTTGTATATATTTGGAAAAAATTAAAAGATGTATATTAATTAATGCTAAGGAAATTATAGTTAGTACCGGAACTATAATGCAATGAGAATGCGAGTTTGAAAAAAAAATTACTACCCATATCTGAAAATTGTAAAAAAAAAAGGGGGTAATTCTGAAATACAAAGGCTTCATTTAAAACCCCTTCAGATGTGTTATTCTTCACTAGCAATAGCTTACAAATGCAATCATAGTTTAAAGAAATAGTTTCATTCTGATATGTTTCTCCTAATAAAGAGATTCTGGAGAGAGTGGGCCATGGAAAGTAAAAATATTTTGCAGTCACTGAAGTCTACGTAAAACTTCGGAAAACACAGACACTGATTCCAGTTCCAATTGTATGTTGTTTTTTTGGTCAAGATCCGCTTGGAATCTAATCTTTGTTTTGCAAAGTTAAGCAAAGCATTGTACATAGAGTGCAGGGGTGGGTTTCAACCGGTTTGCGGCGGTCCCCACAAACCGTTTGGTCGGCGAACCCGGAAGTAAGTAACTTCCGGGAACAGCGAAGGGCCCGTCCACCCGCCCACGCTCCTTACCCGGTTTTGACGAGTTCTGCGCTTCCACGCATGCGCAGGACACATACAGCACCTGCGCGATCCTCCAGGAGCAGCTGGAGCATCGCACAGACGCTAGTACGCATACGTGCACTGCGCATGTGCACGAGGACGCCGCTGGCCCCATTCCAACCGAACTGGTTGGAACAGGGTGAGAAACCCACCCCTGACAGAGTGCAATGTATTGTTTGTGTGTACTTTATTTCTACAGAGGTTTTACATGCAAGCTCAAGCCAGACGTTTACTCCTGTGGTATTTTCAGAACTGAGACCTTCTACACGCGGTATAATACTTACGGGGCACTCCTTGCTGGACAGAATGAGCACGGAAGAGGCATGGAGGGGTCTTTCTGCCCAGCCGTTTTAACAAATGGTCACGTTCATTCATGCTGCAAGACAAAAGGTCAAGTCAAGTCAGCCTCCAGCGGTAGATTATGAAGTACTCCCTTCAAAAAAAAAATGGAATCCATTGTGACAGAGCAGAACTTCTTGTCTCCATTCTTCTAATACATTTTTAGAATAAACAAGAACTTAATGAATTCCAATGTCCTCTCAGTATGTGGGCATACAGATTTAGTGTTTCAGATTAACAGTAAGGTTCCAGAAGAGTGCGTTGCATGCTTTTGACCATCTGCTATGGTGCCAAGGCTACGGCAAAGGGAAAGGGCAACACAAAGTAATGTAAAACATGTTAATATATCTGTTATACTTGTATTTGGTCCTGATCAGATCTACTCATCTTGGATATAATGATGATGATGATGATGATAATGACACTGATTCAGGAGTGGGCTTCAAAAATTTCACCAACGGGTTCTCTGCCTGGTTTCTGGGTGGGTGTGGCCATGGTGGGCGTGGCCTAGTTGGCCTCCTGCACCACGGTGGGGCCCCTGTTTTCATCTTCTCCAGGCTCCGGAGCCTTCCTTGAGCCTCTGGGAGGGGGAAAACTGCCTCCCCCGGGCTCCAGACACCTTCCTGAGGCCGGAAACGGAACTTCAGGGAGCCTGTTCCCCCCCCCCCCCAGCCTCTATGTGAGTCCTGCACTTACCTCACATCCAAAACAGGCCATGTGGAGAGTCCTGGGAGGGGTGGGGTAGGTGGGGTGTGGCCAGCCAGGGGTGTGATTTGGAGTTCTCTGAACTGGCCATAATGTTAGCTACAGGTTCTCCCGTAGCAGCCCACCCCTGTGCTGATTACAAGAAATGGATTTCTTTGTTTGCTTTTCACTTCATGTACGGGCACATTCAGTCAGATCAAACACAAATGCAAACTCATTGGATAGGAATAGCAAGATATGCTTATAGGTCTGGCGCTTACACTGTACATGCAAGTTGAAACCACACTGATCAAAGAAAAGCTACATTTTTATGCTTCTTAACAAAAGCAGCAATTCTGAGCTGGAAAGAAAACTTGCAAAGGATTCTGCTGAATTCAGAGATACTTTGGAAAATGAAACAAGGAAGATATACTCCAGAGGTCTGTCTGAAAATACGCCCATAGGGGGGAAAATAGGTCCCAAAAGATTAGGGTTCCCATGAGAAAAAGATTTTCTTTAATACATATTATGGGTCATGTGGGGAAAGGTTCTTCAGTATCTCACTGAATTAAAACCTGTGAAGTTTGATAGTGGGAGAGTCAAGGTAGACAGAAAAAACTTATTGACTGTCAATGTAATTGTTTTGGGACAGTTATAGAAGATGTAATAGTAGATCCCATTCTGGATGGTTTTAAAAGGACATTGACACGTTCATTGAGAGTGACAAAACTAGTATTTGTATCCATTTCATAAGTCCTATGGGAAAGAGGATGCTGGATTAATCCAAATTTGGTCAAATACAGGATAACTCTGCTCTTCTGTGTCCTTCTTAATTGAAATATATAATTTTCTTTCTCCATTAAACTAACAATAAACACAATAGAGAAGTACTCTAAACAATTCATGTCAGGAAAACGGTCCGGACTAAATCCATAGCACTTTTTTTCCAGTAGAAAAACCAACAAATTCATGAATAAGTCCACAGTATACTATGTAAACTGTATCTGCAGTTTTCTCACAAATAAGAAAGATCATAAGGCCAGAAACCTGCATAAAGCATGGAAGAATAAATATGACTTGCAGGAGCACAGTATAAAAAACAGCGTTTAAAGTCCCCTTCTTGCCACTAAATCAGTCACCAAATTATACAACAGTATATTCCTGTGCAAGTTATACAAGTGTCTTCCCCTTGGGCATCATGGAAAATGGTGAATAATGGACAGCTTGTGGACAATGATTCATAAAGCCTTACTGAACGGATACACAATATCCAGTCAAATCTCAAAAAAAATGACACAAAAGTCACTTGATCCATCAAAGGTCCTCAAGATAACTTCTAGTAAGGTAAAGGTAAAAGTTCCCTGCTTTTACATGCTTGCTAGTCGTTTCCAGCTCTAAGGGGTGGTGCTCATCTCTGTTTCTAAGCCAAAGAGCCAGCACTGTCCGAAGATGTCTCCGTAGTCATGTGGCCGGCATGATTAAATGGAGAAGGCGCACGGAGCGCTGTTTCCTTCCCACCAAAGTGGTCCCTATTTTTCTACTTGCATTTTTTAATGTGTTTTCAAACTGTCAGGTTGGCAGAAGCTGGGACAAGTAACGGGAGCTCACTCCATTATGCAGCACTAGGGATTCGAACCACTGAACTGCCGATCTTCTGATCGACAAGCTCAGTGTTTTAATCACTGAGCCACTCTTAACTTCTAGTACATGCTGCTATTTTTTTCCACATGACAAACCTCAACTCCAAACTAGTTTTTACATAAAGAAGAGAACAGAATTACAGGATTTCTAAAAAAAAAAAAAAAATCAGGAGGGTCAAAGAGCTTTAAAACAATCTGGAAAACATCTTCCTTGTCTACAAAATATTTCTGAAAATTGCAATTTTCTGTGTGGATATTGGGCAGCATTTAGCCCTTATCATTTAAAAAAAAAATTGTAAAAAAAATATATCTTGGAAGAATGCCATAGCACACCACTTCGGTATTACTGGCCATAAAACTACATGGACATATTCTGATAATCCACTAAGAAATTAATTTGGCTCAAGGAAATGCTTATCTTTGTTTCTATAGCTTATGAAATATAATGGAGTCCCAAAGAGGCAAAAAGAAATTTCACTTTTAATAATGATTTTCTATGCCCAGATGATGAATCCTTTCAATCTCATCAAGGAAAGAGAGTGGTGTGGGAATAATAATTCCAGAGCATCACCCAAGTTCCCAATTAACAGCTGTAAAATATTTTTTGTTTTGTTTTATAGGCCCCTTCCTTTCCTTCCCCCAAAGCCAAGGATCCCTATGCCTGGGCAAGCAACATCTGTCTTGACACATTCAGAGGAAGAGCATCAAAACAAACAGAATAATTCAATCCTGACCACAGGGTCCCACTGCCTATTTGTTGGAGTAATTAAAAAAAGATGAGATTCACCACCAATTAACCTACCAAGTGCTAATTAGTGTTAATGAGGATTCAAGGCACTTGCTGTAGCTTGACCCAGAATATCCTCCAGGGTTCACTAATTGGCTGATGATAAAAATGGGGCAAAAGTCTTAAGGTGGATAGATGCAGAAGGATGGATGGACGGACGGACAAACGAACAGGCAAGCAGACACACATACTATTATAGAAACTGCGGGCCTCCATCCGCTCAGGTCTCTAAAACATTCCTGCTGATTCTTCTCCATCACTTTTCCAGCACAAAAACAAGAACCACAATTTTGCAGAGCAATGCTAGCTGGGTATTTGTAGATAACTTTTAAAAACTGGGGTCACTTATAAAGTACAGAAGACTTCTCTTAGGCAAACCTTATCCAAATGAGCAGGATCACTGCTGATTTCTTATGTGGCTAATTGCTTCTTTCTTATTCTTTTTAGCAGGAACTGCTTTCAAGTAAATGTGTTTTGAATTTCAGAAGCTGGAGGAAAGAAATGGGCCAGCAGCAGCCTGGGGACCTTAACTCAGAAAAAGATAGAGATATTCACTATTAAGCCAAAAAGAAAAGGGAAATGTTGGGATAGGCAGGAAGAATTTCCTTTGTAAAACATTTGTTTTTAAAGACTGCTATGCCATGAAATAATTGATATTCTCTACTAAATACACAGATTGTTCATTGAAATGAGTATATGCTCATTTCAAAATGCATGGCATTCTCCCTCCAGTTCTTTTTAACAATTGTTTTATCTTTATTACCTCTTTCTAGCAATCAAGGGAGAATATCTATGTCATCATTAGGAGCCAAAAATGATGGCACAAAACCAATTGGCTGTCTGCACACATATGCTCATTATGGATGGACGCAGATATTTATGGACCCAGATACATGTATACGCATGCAATAACTTCCTTCTGAATGTCAAGCAATCGATAAATCCTATTGATCTCTACTAAAAAGGGTGTTTTTCTATTTTCAATGCAAGTTATATACATAGACAGGAATGCAACCTTAGGCGGCACAGAGAGACAGGCTTTCATTTTTGTTCATAGTTAATAACTGCGGCAGGAAGTAAAGTTTTCCAATACAAATTTAGGAAACGAATATAGAGATGGCACTTCATATTCTCACTATCGCCTATTAAAAAAATACTTTTAAAAATAGTTGCCTCTAGGGAAAATTCATGGGTTTTGTGGTTTGCTTAATTGCCTCAAACTGTTATTAGTACCTGCTGTTTAAGGGGTGTTTTCATTTAAATACCAGGATGAAGTGCGTGTCAACTTTTCTTTTGTGAAGTTGCCAGATCTTTAAAGTAAACAAAAGAAAATCTACCTCTGGATTAGATCTAGGACCCTGGCTTAACAGTAATGAGATGGGACTATTTGTAAACCCTTTGTTTTATACTGGGCCCTGTTTATTCCATTTATTCAACTGTAAAGGACCAAAGTAAATTTAGGCTAATGCTGCTCACACATCTTAAACTTGCCAAGATTGAGACATACTGCTCTAAACCAAACTGCTTTTGAGCATATAACTCAGTTGTGATCAAAATCTTCTTATGTGGATGTAAATTTTAATTTAATGGCTAGAGCAGTGATGGCTAACCTTTTTGTCATTGTGTGCCGAAAATACGCATGCACCCCGCGCCCTCTGCACAGGTGCACGGGACCCCCACACTTCCCCCACCTCTGCGCATGTGTGTGGGACCCCCCACGCCCCATTTTGGGCCTAGTAGGCCTCCCTGCAGCCTCCTGGGACCAAAAATGGACCATGGGAGGGGAAAGCGCCACCCCCAAGTTCCGCCCCCCCACGCATGTGCGTGCAACCCCCGCTTTACCATGCATGCATGTGCACGTCTCCCACATGTACTACACCCCCCCATGCATGTGCGGCAGAGACCCAAAAATCAGATGTCCAGTGG